AAGACGCCTCTGTGGTTTTCGTAAAAATGGAAAAGCAGGAAAATCGTGCTGTCATCAAATACTTTTATTTGAAGGGGTTAACGCCGAAGGAAATTAAAAAAGAGATGGACTCAACACTGGGGACATCCTCCCCGTCATATTCAACCGTTAAGCAGTGGGTTTCCGAGTTTAAAAAGGGTCGTGTGAGCACCTCTGATGGGCCTCGCTCAGGACGCCCCGTTGAGGTCACAACTCCAGATATGATCGAAAAAATTCATCAAATAGTGCTGGGAGACCGCAGATTGAAAGTGCGTGAGATAGCTGAGACCTGTAAGATGTCATATGAACGTGTGCAACATATTTTGCACCAACATTTGCATATGGAAAAGCTCTGTGCAAGATGGGTGCCGCGTTTGCTAACAGTCGACCAAAAATTGATTCGAAAAAACATTTCTACCGCAAATTTGTCATTGTATAAGCGTAATCCAAGCGAATTTTTGCGTCGATTCGTAACCGTTGACGAAACGTGGGTCCACCACTACACTCCTGAAACCAAAGAACAGTCTAAACAGTGGATTGGACCAGGGGAACCAACTCCAAAGAAGGCAAAAACAATTTTTTCGGCGAACAAGGTTATGGCTACTGTTTTTTGGGATGCAAGAGGTATTATATACATTGATTACCTTGCAAAGGGTAATACTATCACTGGTCAATACTACGCAGACTTATTGCAACGTTTGAGCCACGAGGTGAAAATTAAACGACCTCATCTGGCGAAGAAAAAAATCTTGTTTCATCACGATAACGCACCAGCGCACACGTCAATCGTTGCGACGGCTAAAATCAACGATCTAAAGTTTGAATTGATGCCGCACCCTCCTTACTCTCCAGACCTAGCCCCGAGTGACTATTTTCTGTTCCCTAATCTCAAAAAATGGCTTGGCGGTAAGAGATTTGCGGACAATGAAGAAGTAATCGAAGCTGTAAATGGTTATTTTGAGGAGCTTGACGAATCAGTCTATAGAGATGGCATTAATAGACTGGAACACCGCTATGAGAAATGTATCAGCCTTGGAGGAGATTATGTTGAGAAATAAAAAAAACAAATTTTTAAAAACCTTGTTTTTCTTGGTCAGGCCGGAAACTTATCAATCCACCCTCGTATAAGGGAAGAAAAAGTAGGGAAATAGCGAATATAAAGATAGGATAAGAAAAATTAGAAGAAGTGACTGATTTTCGGTATCTAGGAAGTCAGATAATTAAGGCTGTAAGGAACAGAGAAGGTTATTTATTAGAAATGAGGTAGATGTTATAAGGAGTAGGAGAACAGAGGGCGCTATGGAAGTCAATAAGAAATAGGCAGGATAGTAGGCTAGTAGGACCTTCTAAGGTTCTCGTTTTAAGAAAATGCAAAGATTAGCTCGAGACAGGAAAGAGTATAGATGCGTGTCTAAGGAATGACGACCGATTTTGATGATGATACTATTCTATTATCTTTGTGATTATAAAACACGCATAGTAAGTTTTGGTTTTTTTTTTGACGCTGACGTAGGTGAAGGTACTTTTTTTGCCTAACTTACATACAATTAACAATTAGTTTAAAGATGATGTAAATTTTTTTACCTTTATTATTATTATTACTATTAAGAATAATATTTTCGATCAAAACGTCCAAGGACTTCTATATTCCAAGATGTTTTCGGTTTAGCATATTTTGTCAGAAGTAATGCGATATTGTTTTTTTCCTACGCAGATATGACAAGGTTCGTTCTTACCGAGTTTTTTGCGCTGAACTGAGAGTTTTTTATACGTCTGGACTTAAAGATAACTACGAGTGTCTAGCTTACCTTTTTTTTTATTTGCTGACGGCATTTTAAGGTGAAAATACTATAAATAAGTTATAAAATTGCATTGGGTAGGTACTAAAGAAATTTGCACATTGATTTGGAGTTGGTATTAATTTATTACCTTGAATATGGATTAACAGGTTTGATTTGTTTTATGAAAGTTTTATTGCATCTTGACAATATTCTTTCAAAAGGCTTAGAGAAAATACTAAAATTATAAGTAAAGTAATTATAGTAAATAACTTTTCATGTTTTTACAATTTCTAGATAGGCTAATTTTCTGCATTTTCATCATTATTATTATGCAGTAGTTTAAAATGGTCTAGGTCCAAATGGTAGTTATCAGTAATGCAGTGATTAACAAAGCACGAGCTATTGGTTTTTTGTAAAGCTAATTTTTGGTGTTCAATCTGTGTTTCAAGACTCTATGAGTATAATTTACAGGGAGTGATAGATAAGGTTAAAAAGCGTTTTCAATATCAGATAGATAATTCATTAGATTCAAATTATATCTCATATCTATTGGTACCAAATCAGTCAAAACAATTTTCCCTTTTTTATGTGCATTGAATGTAAATTGTAAACAAGAAGGTGCTAACGTTCAAGAGTCTCTGTGATTTGGCGTTTTCCAATTGTCCAAATTTTTCATCACAAGACAATGAATTTCAAAGGTGCAAAACAAATTTTCCAATTTTCAATCCCAAGTTGGTTTCGTATCTTAATCTCTAAGTAAGGGTGGTACTGGAGATCCACCTATACCTACGTCCCTGGTTATTGAACAGCTTATAGCATCCTTTGGATATAGTAATCGAATTTCAAATTCGTCAGTTCCTTTGCTGTTGTACGAGGGTGGATTGATAAGTTTCCGGCCTGACCAAGAAAAACAAGGTTTTTAAAAATTTTTTTTTTTTATTTCTCAACATAATCTCCTCCAAGGCTGATACATTTCTCATAGCGGTGTTCCAGTCTATTAATGCCATCTCTATAGACTGATTCGTCAAGCTCCTCAAAATAACCATTTACAGCTTCGATTACTTCTTCATTGTCCGCAAATCTCTTACCGCCAAGCCATTTTTTGAGATTAGGGAACAGAAAATAGTCACTCGGGGCTAGGTCTGGAGAGTAAGGAGGGTGCGGCATCAATTCAAACTTTAGATCGTTGATTTTAGCCGTCGCAACGATTGACGTGTGCGCTGGTGCGTTATCGTGATGAAACAAGATTTTTTTCTTCGCCAGATGAGGTCGTTTAATTTTCACCTCGTGGCTCAAACGTTGCAATAAGTCTGCGTAGTATTGACCAGTGATAGTATTACCCTTTGCAAGGTAATCAATGTATATAATACCTCTTGCATCCCAAAAAACAGTAGCCATAACCTTGTTCGCCGAAAAAATTGTTTTTGCCTTCTTTGGAGTTGGTTCCCCTGGTCCAATCCACTGTTTAGACTGTTCTTTGGTTTCAGGAGTGTAGTGGTGGACCCACGTTTCGTCAACGGTTACGAATCGACGCAAAAATTCGCTTGGATTACGCTTATACAATGACAAATTTGCGGTAGAAATGTTTTTTCGAATCAATTTTTGGTCGACTGTTAGCAAACGCGGCACCCATCTTGCACAGAGCTTTTCCATATGCAAATGTTGGTGCAAAATATGTTGCACACGTTCATATGACATCTTACAGGTCTCAGCTATCTCACGCACTTTCAATCTGCGGTCTCCCAGCACTATTTGATGAATTTTTTCGATCATATCTGGAGTTGTGACCTCAACGGGGCGTCCTGAGCGAGGCCCATCAGAGGTGCTCACACGACCCTTTTTAAACTCGGAAACCCACTGCTTAACGGTTGAATATGACGGGGAGGATGTCCCCAGTGTTGAGTCCATCTCTTTTTTAATTTCCTTCGGCGTTAACCCCTTCAAATAAAAGTATTTGATGACAGCACGATTTTCCTGCTTTTCCATTTTTACGAAAACCACAGAGGCGTCTTGTTCAGCGTGCTGTCAAACCTACACTAGCAAGGAGATCGGGCTGAAACTATAGCTACAAGCTATCCAAGGATGGTACTATAGAATGTCACCTCAAGGTAGGCCTAGTGGCGTCATCTCTTGGTTAGGCCGGAAACTTATCAATCCACCCTCGTATATAAACGGATATATTACTGCATTATAGTAAGTGCCCAAAGTGGGGTAACTTCAGCAGTTCTACAGTGGACTAATAGATTTGATCATTTCCTGAAATGCAGGGTTTTGTGTCTTCCTTGGAACGGGATGATTTTGATCAATTCTGAAAGAATACACCAATTCGTAGAAACCAAATCGCCAAAATAAATTAACCAATTGTGATGACATGGTCACAAACCCACTCATATTAAATAATTCTACGGTAGTACATTTTGTAATCTGATGTTTTATATTTATTATAAGTACTCCAGAATTAGGATGACTCTTCTCGATCACACGACGATTCAGTTGAATTACTTTATATTTATTATTTCTGGAATAATTGTTGTACGGTACACACCTTATTTGAATAATGTTTAGCTGTAATGATGAGGATATCGTGGATAGAGAAGGTTAGAAATGAGGAGGTATTAGAAAAGAAGAACAGAGGTCTCTATGGAGGTCAAGATATGGACACCTTCTCAAGCATGAAGAGCTAGTTAGAGGCATATATTTGAAGCAGAAACTTGAGTTAAGAGTTTAGGGAAATGAGAAGATTAGCTCAGGATAGGAAAAAGTGCAGGCGCGTGTCCAACTAGCATAGAACTGACGATCTCATGATGATTATAGTGATAAGCTCATTTTCAATGCTTTGAACTAATTTAGAAATGACTTCGTCACATTTTAAGTTCAGTACAACAAAAACAATGAAAAAGTATTGTGATGCATCATTTATGAGTTAAATGCAATTAGCTATACCTTGTCGTCGACTTAATTATTTCGTAAAAAGTTTGTTATCGACAAAATCATCATTAACTGCAGGACGACCATTAAAACGTTATTTTCATATGTTACGTATGTCAGACATCTTCAATTAGTTCCTACCTACGTGTGGGCATGTTCTTTCAGTTTCTTTATTACATATCTTCACCTTTTAATTGAATATCCATTTTTTTGCACCGAATCCGCATGGTAACATTGAAAATTCAACGTACGTTTTTGTTTTCGTTGTTGCAGCAGTAAGGCCTGGCACAGACATGGGAAGTGAGCACTACTGCTTGAGGTGGAACAATCATCAGAGCAATCTGCTGGGAGTCTTCAGTCAACTATTGCGAGACGAAAGTTTGGTCGACGTGACGTTAGCCTGTTCGGAGGGGCATAGCATCCGCGCCCATAAGGTCGTCCTCTCGGCCTGCTCGTCCTATTTTCAAACGCTGTTCCTCGACCATCCCAGTCGGCATCCCATTGTCATCCTCAAGGACGTGCACTTCTCCGAGCTACGCACCCTCATCGAGTTCATGTACAAAGGGGAAGTAAACGTCGAATACTGCCAGCTCTCAGCCCTTCTCAAGACCGCGGAAAGCCTTAAGATCAAAGGACTTGCGGAAATGACGCAACTTGGATCGTCCAGGTAAAGAACTTTTACGCGCTTGTTCACAATTGCACTCTTCGCAAATGTTCCGACACAGCAGAAATGAAAATAAGCGGGACTTTACTTTGTCTTCGTCTCTCGCCTTTGTACACACCCACACACACACACATACACGTGAAACAAGCACTATAATGACACTTCACCTTTTGCGTGAAAATGTAGATTACTTATCTACATTGTATCACATCAAACGCATCACTTGACATAAATTTTGCAACGTGAGCTTCTTCCGTGTGAACGTATATATACAATTTTTTAGACATCTTTTAGAAGTGAGTTAGTTTTAATATGAAATATTATTCTGAAAATTCATTTGTTTTGACCAATGCTTTGACCACTATGTATGTTTAATCATAGTATATATTAGTTTGACGGATTTGTGAGCTAATAAGTACGGTTTGTCCAGAGAAGAGAGACTAGTATAGAAGTCCAATGCTGGGTTAATAATCCGGACTTCGTTTCGGATAACATGTCGGTAAATCTCGAAGCTTCTGTCATCCGACCGGTAGTTGTCGCTTCGGAAAATCAACCGTTTTTTTTTTTCTTTACAAACTTGGCTTACAACAGCAAAGTAAAAAGACTTATGCGTTCTATGATCCCACCACTTCTACTATCTACCCCTGCCATTACTGCGTTCACTCTTTGCTCCGACTCAATACAGCGTTGAGGCGCTCATTTTCATAGCAACGCCATCTCCTGGTTCTATTTAGAATTTCTTACTCATGTTTTAGTCCTCCATTTGAATTGGACTTCTATACTAGTCTCTCTTCTCTGGTTTGTCGTTGTTTCTGTTGTCATCTCTCGTAGCTTAGTGGTCAAAGCATTGGCGCGTAAAGCCAAAGAGCCCGGGTTCGATTCCCGGCGGGGGCGTGACAACAGCAACAAAAAAAAATTTTTCCTCATTAATTTGAGGAAGTGTGTAGTGGGTAAAAATTCACAAATGAATTTTCAGAATAATATTTCATAGTATATATACAATGTCATTAAAAGGGGTACCTGAATCGACAGAAACATCACATTAGAGAAATACCACAAGATAACAGCTTTTTTCTTCTAAAAAATTGAATATAGCAAAACTGCCCGCTTGCTGTAGGCAGCTACACTCCAAAGGAATATAGGGCTTTAGCAGGTTTTTTTTCCATTGCAGGGATTTCAAACCTAACGACATAGAAGCCGAACAAAAAGAACCAAAAGAATTGGTTCTAAAGCGACCGCTTGAAGATCAAGATCAGTCTCACAGTCAAACACCTCCTCGAATATGCCGGACTCCTGACAGACCTCCTTCAGTCGAGAACATCCGTACCACGTCTACCCCACGTGAAGAATGTGGCCCAAGTGATATGTCCTTACATAGCAATAATAATCCAATAACTAATTGTCCTGCGTTAGGGGCGGGCCCCCCTAGCAGTCGACTTCCTTCACCTTCTATCAACGACGAACCGCTCCCCGGACCATCTGGATTACCACCTGTACAAGTAGCTCCATTGGTAAGAGTTGTTTATCAGTTTGTCTAATCATAAATGTTACCAGGAAGAACTTTTTTGATTGGAGCCTTTTTTCGTTCGGGTAAATTCTGATTACGTTAATTTAATACGAATTAATTAATAATTCATATATTTAATTGATACTTGATTCAATACTGATTGTATATGAGCTGCTGAGCTGCAACGTGGAATTAATAGGGGTGTGTGTCGACATCGACATTTAATAACTTGTCTGTTTTTCTTTTTTGTTTATAAAAGATTGATAAGGCACAAAAATGCGTATGAAAAATAATGTAGAAAGGTTGGTTTCTCAAATTATCGAAAAATGCCTTTGAAAATTTATTGCCCAAAGTGTTCCTTTTCAAAAACAAGATATTATCTAAATTTTCATTCCGTTAAGGTAAGCGCACATACATCGGAATCGGACGGACGCAACCGTACAGTTAAAAATGAAATATATGCACTGATACGCGGGGAACGTCCAGCATATTATCCGCTTCCAAGAATCGGAATTAAATTTTACTTTTTTTAAATATAATTTGTCAATGTCCGTTAGTACTTTTAGAGACAATTGACACTAATAATATGCTAAAATCTGCAAGTCGAGTTCGACGTATGTATGCAATAGGATGAAAAAATTCTGACGCAGTCGTGCGCCCGCTGGTAGCGGTCTGTCCGTTTCCGATGTATGTGTGCATACCTTTAGAAGTCTTTTGTTTTCACTGTTGTTAATGAACGGGCTTTACCTTTTGATTAATATAAAATTTATTGTCATTTCACCTTAAATGAAATTTCAGCTGTATCATTACCTTAAATAATGGAAAATTTTATATGATTCTGTTTGATAATTCCTTAAGAAAAATGATTAAGAGCAACTTTCTATTAAGAAATATGAAAAGTAGTAAACAATTGTCGTACAACCTGTTGTGTACTTGAAGATACGTGTTCATCGGAGTTTGTTACATTTGTTTTACTTGTTTTCATACATATATATATATATCCAGACAATATTTATATTGATAAGCAGCAATAATATTTTTATTTTTCAATTCTCTCTAAATTTGAGTCATTGTCCTTAAAAGTATTTACGCCAAATGCACAAGTTTCAGCAAAAAAAAAGTAATATATATTTTTATTCCTTTCTAATGGTCTAATAAATTACTTATATCTTATTTGTCAGTATTTGAAGATATGGACCGGCTAAATCGCCATATGCCATGATTGCAAAATACCGTTACCTAACTTTTTTATCCCGTCGTTTACAGGTTTGCTTATTTTTTTTCTTCTTTTTTACATCGAGAATGCATTTGATACGACGTTGTTTGTCATTAACATAGCTAGAGAGTCCTGTTTTTTTAGCAGAATTGACAAATTTTGTAAGTAACGAAGCAGATTAATGGACGATGTATACGAGGTGTGTCCAAAAAGTGTTGCGAATTTTGTCTTTTTTCAAAAATTATTTATTCATGGATATCTATTCTGTCCCCTTCAAAGTAATCTCCGCCAAATATTATACACTTGTGCAAACGTTTTTCCCAATCATCGAAGCACTTCAAAAAATCATTTTTTGTGATCTTGTTCAACTCCTCCTTCGATGCCGTCTTTATCTCCTCAATCGTAGCGTAGCGTCGTCCATTCATGGACTTCAGTTTCAGGAACAAGAAAAAGTCACAGGGGGAATACGATGGCTACGACATTACTATATTATGTTGCTATTGGCCAAAAATTCGCGAACAAGCAATGAAGTTTGAGAACGGGCGTTATCATGGTGCAAAAGCAAATTGCGCATAACTTCAGCAAATATTCCTTATTGACCGTTCTTCCTTGTGACAAGAACTCATGATGCACCACACCCTCGCAATCAAAGAAACCTATAAGAAAAATCTTCACATGCGACCTAATTTGGCGCGCTTTTTTCGGTCTTGGTTCTTGCAGCAGCTTCAATTGAGATGATTGCGCGTTGGTTTCCTTGTCATAACCATAAACCCATGATTCATAATCAGTCATGACTCTGGAGCAAATATGGATGGTCGCGGACAGAGTCCAACAGCTCCTTAGCATTGTTAATGCGATGCTGTTTTTGGTCGAAATTGAGCAATTTTGGTACGAATTTCGCGGCCACTCGTCTCAAGCCTAAATCATTGGTAAAAATCGAATGGCAGGAGCCAATCGATATGTTTAGGTCGTCAGCAACTTCTCTAGCGGTGGTTTGACGATTGGCTCATACTATTTTCTTTACTTCATCAATGTTTTTGTCTATTGTTGACGTGCTCTGACGTCTCTTTCGTGGTTCACGTCTTCTCGGCCCTTTGAGAACATTTTGTATCACCGATAACCGTTTTTACAGTCCAAGGCTGCGTCCGCCCACTTAATTTTGTTTTTCACACAAAATTTGGTACGGATTCTTTGATCAATTTTTTGGAATAAGCAAAATTCGAAGACGAGCCAAAACACGTGCAAGCAAAGCAGCTGTCAAAAATTAACTTAACATTCAACATGGCCGAACATGGGCGGAATAAGTGAGAGACATGAGTACCAACATAACGCTACAAAGAAACCGAAAATCGAACGGACATAACCCGCGGAAATTTAAAAATCGTGATACTTTTTGAACAGACTTCGTCCATTAAGGTGTGCTGGGTACAGTTTGTTATTTAAGTTTTCTTTCATTCAGTTAATGATATTTCAAAAAGTTGATAATAAAAATGGAACATATTCAAATTTTCTTTTTATTGTAAATACCGAACCATAACCATATTTTAATCGTGAGAAGATTTTTATATAATTATTGGTTCATGACCATGACATGGAACATTGTTTTATAAACAACATTTGCGAAATACCATTGCGAATAGACCAAACAAATGTATTGTTTATCGTTGACGCATGTCAACGGTTACGATTAAGTATCCTAAACATTTCATTAAATACTGTTCTTGAAAGAACAATATAAAATATCATCTTGGTTTTGGTATTTAGAGTATTTAATACTGGTAAAATCAGGATTTTAGGTTTATACTTCGCCGAAATGTTTGTCGGGGGAGGGGGGAACGATCTCCGTACGAGTCCTGAAACTGCTCCATCTTCAGCATTGAGAGCTCTTCCGATTTTGAGCAAACCTTCCAAAAGCCTCCTATTTAATTTATTCATCGTTATAATTTGAGTAATTGTTACCATTTTGGACTTGGAGTGTTTTCTTATTTCAGTCACTGAAGAAAGAAGCGGACTGGGGCGGAGGAGGGGGCGGAGGGGGTGGCGGAGGAGGCGGCCAAACAAACGATTCAACAGCAGGCGAAGGTTCATCCGAATTCAACAGACCTCCACACGACTCAGTAAGTAATCGTTTAATTTCAATTATTTATTAATCTGTCCAGTAGTTAATAGAGTATCTATCCAGTAGTGTCATTACTTGCAAAAGCGAATCGTTGTCCTTTGAAAGCATGAAAAGTAATCTTTGTGCTGCTATGTTTCTATAAATAGCGTTTTTGCTGTCAAGAAGTTGACATTCATTTTGGCTTAAGACTTTTTTTTCGTTTTGACCAAAGCTGTTTGTGCAATTGGTTCGTTCACGTAACAGAGAAAAAGGTCGCTCGGAGGGGGGGTGGCGAGCACGGGACCCGGTCGGTCGTTCGTTCGGTCGATGGCATGTGCAGCACTCACTCACGAGTCTCCTTCAGCCAAACGAATGATGAGCGTCAACTTCTTGTAGTAGCATTTAGGGTAGACTTCCTCCTACTGATCGCACAAGGCAAGAAGTTGATGTGGCTTGTTGTTTGGTTGCAGGACCTCGATCACGGAGATGGGGGTTCGCCGCGGCTCTTCCCCTGCATGTACTGCGGAGCTTCCTTTCCAAACCAGACCAAACTCACCCGTCACATTCTCTCACACAGTCTAGAGACACTCAAGTATCGCGAACAAATGCAACATCCCGCCGGTCCGTTGGGGTTTCACGAACCGCTCCATCTGATGGAGCCGACGTTTCATGTGAGGGGCGCATCGGCACCACCCGAACCCCCCGATCCTACAGACCAACCTCCCACCCCCATGGACCTGGACCCAGCTAGTGGTGAAGGTGGCGGTGTTGTTTTGTGCAAGTTCTGTGGTAAATCGTTTCCCGATGTGGGCTCGTTGATTACTCATCTTCCCGTGCACACCGGCGACAGACCGTTCAAGTGTGAGTTCTGTGGGAAGGCGTTCAAGTTGCGACATCACATGAAGGATCACTGTCGGGTTCATACTGGCGAACGGCCGTTCAGGTGTACCATATGCGGAAAGACGTTCTCTCGGTCCACGATACTCAAAGCCCACGAAAAGACTCACTATCCGAAATACATCAGGAAATATCTTTCGCCGAATCCGCTGGACACCGAGGAGGAAAGTCCGCACTAGTGCTTCTATAGTTCCTTAGACTGATTATTATTATTATATGCTTGACATAGCGCTAAACATGTACATAGAACTAGCTAATTATACATACCATTATGTACTACTTAAGCATAACGTTCACCAAATTTTTATAACAGTAAATAGTAATAGTAATATCGCGTAAAACAAAACGGTAGCAATAGTGGTAGTAGGGTGATCAATTTAGATACTACTGCTACACAAAAAAAAACACGTTTACTATTATATATCATAATCATCGTTATATTTATTACTATTCGTAATAAGTACCGTTCTTCTTCTTCATGTTCTTCTTTTACAACTTCTCTACCTTTTTCTTTCGTAAAACTTAATCGGACAGGAGACTACTTTGTTAGTTATAAATGCATACATTATAAATAATAATAACCTACCCTTATGGCATTAATTTTGGGCGGGAAGAATTTTTTTGTTTTACAGGCAACTGCGAGCTGTGATAGAATTAACTATTTTAAGTGTTTAAGGTATGAAAACTGTGATGGTAGGCAGTGGGATTGTCGAAAGTCTGCGAACTGTAATCTTACCGGCAAATTCTGTACACAGTATATCAACTAATTATGGAAAAGTAGTTTTAAACGTTTGCTTTTGTTGCTTTATACGATCGTGAATTGTTTTTCGACAAAAGCGACCACAGATTGCCCTATACGGCAAATATTTGAACTACAAGAATACTGCGAATCTTTATTTGAATTAATTGAAAACAGTATTTTATATTTTAATTTCACATTTGCAAAATTGGATGTGTACCAACACCAAAATATCAATGTACCTAAACATTTTTAATTTTGAAATTCGTAGGTTGGTACAATATTACGTATATTTAAACGCGTTACAGTTGCAGTAATTGGCTGGAGTTTATTGATGAAATTAAGTATGAAATGAAGGCAGTATTAACAAACCGAGTGTAAAAACAACGTAGAGAATTCGTTTTATATTCTACCACCATAGTTGCCATTGAAATAAATATTTGAATGTTGTTGGAGATTGACATTTGACAGCATCATAGTATGCGACAATAGGAAGCATTAAAGGATAAGATCCAGGTGAATTGTCTTGCTGCCTACATTGAATGCATCAAGAGGCAAACGCTTTATAAACGTTTATCGAAATCGATCGAATACTAAAATGTTTATAGGTGACTTTTGCATAAAGTTAAATACGATATATTGTAGTCTTACTTCAATCATCAGGGTAGAAAATTTAAAATGTCTCAAAACTTTTTATAACAATAATATTCTAGTTTTATAAGATCCTCCAAAATTTTTAGTTTTTTCAAAAATTTAAACTTGCATGTCAAATTTCCTAAACATTAATATTATTACAGATCTTTTTCAGACCATTATGGGAAGGTTTGTTTTTTTACATAACAAAATTTCAAGTTTCGCAAAAATGAAATTATTAAAAGGAAAATCCAAAAACTGAGTTATTTCATTAAATTTTCGAAAAAAAAAAACAAATATATTTTAATAGAACTTTCTGAAAAGGGGAATATTTTTAAAATTTCACATATTTAAAAAAAAATTGAGATAATAGGGGTGTGGGAATTGCGTAAAACGATTTGAAAAATTAGATATACATCTGAATGTCAAAGGTCCTAGAAAGAGTTAGTGTTTTGTAAATAGCAAAAACTAAGTATAGAACAACAAAAAAAGTTGAGGTAAATCAAAATTATTATTTATCTAATGAAAATAATATTCCAAAAACTGCTAATTTTTAGATATTTCGATTTCTTAGAGATCAAACTTTTTAAAAATTAAAATTATTCCATAATATTGAGAAAGTTCTGAGGTCTTTCAATGGGCTTTTAGAATGAGAATTCAACAAATTGTTAGAAGGTTCGCCTCTTGATGCTGGTTGACGATCGCATTTCCAAATTCGATTTCGATGTAATAAAATATTATAATAATAATAATAATGATGATGATAATACAGCTGACCACTGACCGGTGTGCAGGGCCATCCACTAGAGCAGCGCTGCTACATAACCTCCCTATGTTCCTCTTTATGTTCTCGAAGCCACTACGTATCAGTGAAAGTACATAGCAATAATTATATCGTGCAAACAAACATACACGCATGCCTGCATTCAGACAAACAAACAAATACGTGTATGTAAAAATGTATGGTAGAGGTAGTTTAAAATCTCATGGGCCATGACCTTGGATTGCGTAGTGACAAAACTCCGCCTGTTTATTGATTTCTACATCGCAGTAACAGCATTGGCCGTTTGGGCGTCATCGTTCACAGTTTATCATAATTAATAGTCGACTCAGTGATTCTGAAATGTATGACCCAAGGCATTTTAAAAGACCTCTAGCACTATTCGCGTATAATATGCAAACTACATACATACATACATACAATACTTTTTGTTTCCTATTTCAGAGAATATATTTATCAGACCTTTTATATAGAGAGATATATTATATATTATATATGTTGTTGTATATACTGTAGTACGGTAGAATTATTATAATTATTAATATTATTATTATTATTAATTAATTCCACATCAAAAAAAAACCACAGCTAGTAGCGACAGTAGTATCCAGTGGTTTGTGCAAGCAAGATAGCCAGTGGTCGGCGAATGACACGTTTTTGTTTATCTTATATTGTAAGTAATTGCCAGAGACAATGCTTTGACATTATTATGTACAGTGGAGGATCAATGTTACATTAACAAAAAAGGATTTCTGTCAAAATATTTACCACACGAAAATCGATAACTATTTTCGAGATGGAAGCATCCGTACTTTTGATTTCATATCATATTTCCAATATTGCAGGAAATTACTTTTTTTTATGACATTCACACTATTATGAACTATTCAATATTCCCTAATATTTTCTCACTTCTGCAGGATATTCCTGTTTTCGACATATTCATCAACTTTTCTTCTATCAGATTCAGGATAGGAATTATAATTTAATTATAACTTTCTGCTTCTTGCTGTCGTGTCTTTGTTTTCACAGGATGTTTCATTTTCCTGTCGAAAATTTGTCCTTTCAGTTTTATTTATCAATTTGAAAAATATTCTTTTTATTGGGACCCATCAAATAGCCACAGGTACACCACCTGGTAGCAGTACTTCAATCTAGAATGAGGGACAAATTACGTCAACTACGTAAGAAAACAATGTGTATCAAAGAAATGAATTTTATGTCTAGTTCGAAAATTGTACGGTAAGGAATTTAAAAAATTTTCCCTGATCTACGCCATGTTTTTTAGGCTCCTCCCTTATGACTCCTCCTTTTTCTTTTACATATTTTTGTTTCTACTTATCACTCACAATTTTGTATAACATCACACCTATTTCCTATAGTTACTACTTACAATTTCAAAAGTTTCTCAGTTAAATAAACTTTGATTGATCATAAATGATAATAAAATGGGAATATTTTGGCAGATTTTAGGACGTATGAATGAATAAAAGTATTCTTGATTGTCATTAAGAATACTTTCGAGAAAATTGTCTGTGGTTCCAGCTACTGAATACCGCTGTTCAAGTAAAATTGTTTACCGGAGTGCCTCGATATACATGAAGCTACACTAAATATCGCGGATACCTCGACAACATTTAACCCATTTTGGAGATATGGAGAACTTCGACGAGAGACAGTGACATTGTAAACGACTCAATAATAATGGCCCGGTTTTGGAACGGGAACGATGCATTGCATTGCGTTTCTTGTAACTGTTTATTTACATTTTGCTTTTTAATTAATTTTTCTTTTTGATATTATCCACTTGTTGAACGTTAAGTTGTCCAGATTTGACCTTTATAGGTACTCTTATATAAAATTTGTTATTTTGCGCGAAATAATTCCACCATATCCCGCGAAATTTCGTCTATCGTCAAAGTTCTTCGATAGAGGGCGGGGTATGTACGATAATTGGTTTTGCCAAATA